CAGCTCCAGGTTGAGCTGTTGTTCAGCATCTTAGCTGTAGAGGGCAGTGTCACTGGCCCTCATGTGGGATCCAAACCGGAGCCCTCTGGCATCCCAAGACAGCTCTTAACCAATGCGCCACTGCACCTCCATATGCAGTTTTAAATCTGTCTTTCTCTAGGGCACCACTGTGTGTCCTGATGCCTTCCCGAAATCAACAGGGAAGAGGCAGGGAGACCCATCAGTAACGTCAAGGACTTGAGGTGTGGATCCATTTCTCCAACTCTAGGTGTATGGACTATGCCAATTTGGGGAGCTACTTAATCTAAGTTTCAGTAAATGGGGACAACCCTTTCTTTACAATAAAACAATAGGAATTAAATGGTAGTGTGTCTGTACAACACTCAACACTGCGCCTTACTCAGATGGTCCCTTTAGCAGGAACCATAAGTCCAGGCACTGCCGTTCCTGTCCAAAGGAGGCACTTTCGTGTCCTCTCCACTTCTCTCCAGCTTCATCGTCCACATCTTCCTTCCTTGTCCTTCTACACACCACCAACGTGATCATTCCTCGGCCCCTCTATTACCTCCACCCTCAGGGTCAGCCCTTATCATGGGCTCTACCCCATTTGTTCTCATCATTTCATCAGCCTATGTTGCCCTCATTTTCTCATCTCCTGCTTCTCCTGTGGGTGTGAAATTGAAAGAGACAGGCATTAAACGAGCCTGGTGTGACCACGCAGAGCCCTGTTTTGTCACGCAGAAAAGAGCTGGGCAGTGATTTTTAAACTAGTACAAATCTGAGTGAAACTTTCCCTTTGCTTGAGTCACTTTGACCATTGCATCCAGGAACAAAACTTAAAGGCTCCTCTTAGCGACCAATGGGAGACCGCCAGTGTTTCGGGAGGTGCCAGAGCTACACGACATGGTGGTGCCATCTGGTGGATCTGATCTTACAGTTGTGCTCAGTTTAAGAATATCTCAATGGACATTTCCTACTGCATGCCAGCCCCACGAATTGACCTGATTGTGCCACTCCTTGCTCCATGACCAAGCGAAAAGGTCTAACTTATAGGAGTATCTCATAAAGTCACTGCAAATAAGTTCTTGGTGAATCTACTTTTTGTCTGAGTGGGCTTGCCTGGGAAATCTGAAGATAATTGATGGGTCAGAGGTACACAAATCAAGGATTTGTCTTATATTAATAGAAATACCATCAAATATATGCTGTGTTCTGTGCTAGTGGCCTTGGGATCTATCTGCCTTGGATGAACAGCAGGGAAAGAAAATGCAAAGAACTAGGAATTCCCCTGGTCATGCTCTGTGTTGGGAACTTTCCAAAATATTTATTTCATTGACCCCCACATCAAATAAGTATCAATGTGGACATATGACTCCCAGAAAAACTTGTGTTCTGCTAAGGATCAAGATTCTATGAGGCTTATGATAATGGAAAGGAACCATGATTATGGAATTCTATCTAAGAGCCCACAAGGACTGGAGTAGTGAAAGATCTGAGGTGTGAAAGGGATGAAGCAGGTGAGTATGAGTCCTATTCATTGGTTTGCACGTAAATGTCCACACGCATAGGAACACAGGCAAATCAGTGTTTTTCCTGAGGTTTGGGGTTAGGAGCACAGAGGGGTATGGAAAATAACTTTGTAATGAAAGATTTTAAAAGCCAAATTGAGGCCTGTATCCAATCTTAGTATGAAGACAGGACTCATCCCTGCCTTGCCTGAGTCCCCTTTCTCACTGGCTCTGTTCCCCTCCCCGCACACTCGGGCCAGGGACACAGAGAGCTCGCCCATGGTGAGCAGGGCTCAGTGTGGACACGAGGACTGAAGGAGATCAGGGAACTTGAATTTGACGCAGTCACCAGGACCTCAGAGCCTGAGCAAGGCAGAGACCATCCCAGAAAATGGGGTTTAGAGGGGAGCAAATGCACTTTCCAGAGAGAGGGTGGATGTTGGGCTCCTGTGTGAGGAACAGCGTGCTGCTCAGATGCTGCAGTCCTGCTCCCATGAGCTCTTCACTGAGTAATGAGTGCGTGTGTGTGTGTGTGTGTGTGTGTGTGCGTGTGTGTGAGCACACGCATGTGTGATGTGAGTCTCTCTAAGGTCTCCATTTTCATCAGATAACAAGAAAAGAACTTTAGGTTTGCAAGTACTTTATTGAAATGAAAATGCATTTGAGGTTTCAACACTTGTCTTGAAGTTTGCAGATCAAAAGACAAAAATAGAAAGGTAAGTTGTGGTTTCTACCAATACACAGTCGGTTCTGATCATTCTCTGTAGTTGTCTGAGCTGAAGGTCTTGTGGAAAGTTAAAATCTAGCACACCGAGTACTGTTATATACATATTGCTGGAAAACAAAAACAGAGACATCACCTACATTCCGTTCCTCATAAGGGGAAAATCTGGAAAACCAAACATTTCTTATTGTTTTCCTGCATTTGTTAACACATATCTCACATTCAAGAAAAATAGTGCAGGAAGTAAATTCACAATTATCTCATCATTTATTCTATTGTTCAGGAGACATTAATGGGTGCCTAAGAGGTGCTTGTGTTTCCAGGTCGCCCCCACGCCCATCCCCGGGGTCACTTAAATAATTTTATCAGCATGTTTCCTGTTTGTTGAAATAACATATCTAACAAAATTATGCTGTGTTACCAATTTCAATATCTCGGCTCGAATGCAAGGACATGTGAAGTTTTTGAGTTCCTGTATGGCCTTACAGGTTAGAAATATAAAAAACAGTCTGGTGCCTCCACCACATCGTTTGTGTGTCACAAAGTGTCGGAGATGTGCGATCTGGCTGATTTGCCTAATCTAGGTTTAAAGAAAAAATTCCTACCATCTTTAATCGCAGCGGTTGTTCACTTTCTAAACAATGTAATTATGGTAAATACACATAACATAAATATTACCATTTTCACCATTTTCAATATACAGTTTGGTAGTGTTAAGAATATTCTCTTTGCTGTGCAGCCAGACTGCAGGATGTTGGCATCTTGCTGAACTGCAGCACTGTACCCGTTAAAAATCTCCAATTTCCTCACCACCCAAGCCCTGGAAACCTCTATTCTACCTTCTGTTTCTAAGACATTGGCTACTCTAGAAAACTGATAGAAATGGAGTCATGCTATATTTCTCTTTCTCTGGCTGCCTTTCTCTTTTTTATCGTGTTTTCCAGGCCCTTCCATGTTGCGCCCTGTTTCAGATCTTCTTAGTGATGTATGCTTTTATGTTTGTGCTTTGGCAATACTTCCAAATTGTCTACCCTGGAATGTTTCAAATGTTACATTAGGATAGGCAATAAATGCTAGGTAAAAACTAACAAATCTGTTACAATTAGATAGATTATCTCATTGTTAAACTACTGATTTTTGCTTAAACAATTCCCTCACCCGTGGCGGGTTCATACCCATGATCTGCATTTGTCATTTATGGGTCTTTAAATGATGGTCAGGAATTCAATCTTTTATACCAACAAACTCTGATTGCTTGAAAGTGCATTTTAGATTGTGTTAATAAGATATGGAATAATCCTGAAAACAAATTCCCTGGACTCTATTGAAGATTCTTTAAAATGTTTTACTATTTGATCTATGAACAAAAGGAGTTTATTTTTGTGATCACTCTTACAGGTGAAGGAAGGTCTTGTTAAATTTAGATGTTTTCTAAGCTGAGGGCTACAGAAGCCTTCGCCCAAGCGTTTCCCCCCGCCCCTTTGCCCTTTTCATTTCTCTTTCTCTCAAGATTCCACAAAGTCAGAGACAGAGCAGCACTGAACCTTGGATGGCTTTCTTGATGTCACAGTATTATTCACACTCACCAACAATGAAAGTCACTGAAACAAAGCATGGTCAACACTTGCTTTCACGTAATAAGTGACAAACTTAGAACCTGATTCTCCCTGTCCAGTGGATTAAAAGTACTTAAAGAAGAAATAGAAATTACCATCATATTTTGGATGTTGGCCTGAGTCGTCTCATTCTTGCCAACTTTGAGGAAACAATCCTTCATTTTCTCTGCGGCGTTTTTAGTGGTTTCCCCGGGTATGAATTCTTGATAATCCTTGAGGTACTGATCCGTGGTCACGTCAGTAGAAATTGTATCATTTATCAGTTTCTCAAGGAGCAAGCAGCCAGAACCTGGGATGAAAGCATGAAAAGTGGGCTCACTTACAGAGGTCTGAATCCTTTTGGGACGTAGCTATGATGTTTGTCATCTTCTATCCCATTAGAGATACACATTCAGAAAGATTATGGTCAATGGTCTTGAGTTCTCAAATCGAGGAGAGTAAACTCAGGATCTGGGATTTTCTTCCACCCCTGAGACATTTCCTCCCTGCTCCCCACACTTCCTGGCTTTCACAGCACCAAAAAGACAAACACATGAAAAGCGAGGACACTAGAGAAATGACATGCTCTGTTTGGGCTTGGGGGACAGGAGGTCTTCCACAGGGGCCCTGACAACAACCTTTAACCAAAGCCCGCCCTCCTGGGCAGCGCTCACCTGCAAAGCAGGAGAGGGGGAGGGCAATCAGCATGAGGACTGTCAGCAGCTTCATGGTGGAGGCAGCGGTTCTGGGCTGGTGACGCCGATGTGGCCGGGAAGAAGGAACTCACTGTGGAGGTGAGTGCCCTGAACTCCTCCTTTTATTCTCCTGGTGGCCACCGTAATCCCTCCCACCAATGAGGGAATGAGTCACAGGATGAACCTGGCTCTGGGCCAGGAAACCACAGCCAGAATCACCAGAACCCAGCCAGCCTGTGTGGATTATAGAAACCAAGGAGACAGAGCTTTTTAAAGAGCTGCAGTAATGGTACCTGACAGTAGATGCAATAAATGCAGATGTGCTTGCTAAATAATAAAGCAAATTACAACATTGTGAGCCTTATTGTTTTATTACTATGGTGGTCTCATTATCTGCCCTCCTCCTCCATGCAATCCTCCCTTTCTTCCCCATCCCCTCCTCATTCCATCTTTCCCCTTTCCCATCCTCTCCTCCTCTCCCTCTTTCTCCTCTTCTTCCTCCTGTTGTTTTTCTTTTCCTTCTCCATCTTCAAGGTACAAAAAATCTCATATCGTCTGTTCCTCTTGCTTCACGAACACCCAGGCTGGATGCAGTACCGCATACCGCCTCTGGGAGGCAGACTGCCTTTGCCCTTAGACACTTTTTCAGTAGGGCTGGAGTTGGAAAATATAATTGTCTTCCCTGCTTTCAAGGTTGTTTTTACAAAGACTATCTCACTTAGTTAAGTCAGTTGTATCATTTTAATTATAAATCTCGAATTAAATTTGTCCAGTTTTTGGTAGTTTTACGGATTTTGTGCCACTGATTCGAAGGACAATGTGAGAAGTAGAAAAACTGATGCTTAGGGGAGGCAGTGCCCAATGGTGGACTCCTCCAGATGTGGATTTGAATCTTGGATGCAACGTATGATCACGCGGTGACCCTGGGGGAGTTAAAGTGCTGGCCACGCCGAGCTCCCTTTTCCCAGTTTCTAAAATGGGCATAAGTGGTACCATGCCAGGTTTTGTAAGGATGACAGACACTCTATGTAAAGAGCCTATCACAGAGCTTAAAACAGGGTCATCAGGACTATGGAAGATTCAATCCATCCATCTATCCATCCACCCACCCACCCATCCTTCTTCTATCCTTCCATCCATTGTTCACAACCTGATTCTCCTATGACTAGGCCCTGTGCTACATGTCACAGGTTCAGTTGTAGGAACAAGTTAGAGCAGAGCCTGGCACTAGTGCAGCTTATCTCTCTCAGGGGAGGCAACAAACATGCCTACAGCTGACTGAGGGATCAAGGGAAAGCGATGGTGTAAAGAACAACAAACCACAAACATGGCAGCAGCCTGTAAGGAGGTCCAGGCAAGCATCGGAGGAGGCACTTTTAAGCTTGGATGGTGAAATCCAGGGGAACATCTGGGGAAGAGTGTTCCAGGCCCAGGGAACAGCAAGTACACAGGCCCTGAGAGCAGATGGCACGTGGCAAGGGAAGGGAAGCGTGCAGTGTGCCTCTTGGTGTCAAGAGAGGGACAGGACAGCCTCATAGGATAGAAAAGCCACATGGGTTTAAGCAGGGACAATATGAAGGGAACAGGAACAAGAGAAACAAAGTTGGCTTAGGTTCAGGAACTAAGAAATGGATGAGAGAGTCTGAGATATGAGTCAATAGTTAATTCCCTGTGAACACATTATTCTCTGTCCGGATTATTTGGGACTCACTTCTTTCCATCATTCAGCTGGAGCTTCTGTTGCCAAGGACAATATTGACTTAGGAAGAAGATAGAAATAGAAAAGAGGGTTATGTTCTTATGGGTGTCCCGTCACCAGGCTGACCATTGCTGCCATATCCATTCCAAAGGCAAGTGAAGGACTGTCTCCTTGGGTGACTGTCTCCTTGAACGGGACTTAATGAGGAATCTGCCTGGTGCCTCAGTCATTACGGACCTTCCCTGTCACCTGCTGGGACACTGGGCCCTTCACAGCTTCTTACTCAGCAAACAAGTCCCACCTCATGTCCATGAACCCACAGTAAGATGTGTTTCTCTTTCCCTCCATATTTTCTGCAAAGCACATGAGGACCATTCTCAGGTGAATCAAATACAGTAAGTCTGCTTGCAAAGGCTCATTTCAAAGCATCATTTGCAAATGGCGAAACCAAAAGGTGAGAATGCCTGTATTGCTGGTCTGAGTTTTCTTTCCTCGGAGAAGGACTTTGACTCAGGTCCCCAAATCAGTTCAGAAAGTACAGGCATGAAGGAGTGTGTGACATCCATTGATCACCTTCTGTGACAAACCATGGTGTGGAGCTGAATTCTGCACAGATTTCACCTTGAATACCCTTGTCTCGGGTAGAGATAAACGTGCAGTAAAGAGAGAATTCTATTTGGCCTGTCCTGAGGCTCCGACAAGACCTGAGATATACTCACACGAATATTTTGCTCATGTGATGCCTTGCCATACTTAATAAAAGTAGCAACACTCAGTGAGAGCCATTTTTTCTCAGTGATTCATGCATTGGCACAAACCTATAAAAGAGTTCTGAAATTTAGATGATCCTTGAGTTTTCATTAATTGTAAGTTAGTCGTATAAATCAGTCCCACAGTATTTGGGGAGAAGATACCCTACATTTCTTCTTTTTCACTCATTCTGCAAAACTGGTTCTGCCCCTTTCCTCCTGGGCTGTTGGCACATGAACCTCAGGCATGTGCTTTGGACGTGAACCTCTTCTTCCTGAAGGTCACGCCAAACCTAGAACTAGGGCTGGGAGACACTTTCCCCGGCCAGACACTTCAGGAAAGGCCTTGGTCTTGGGGACAACTTGATGGCAGTGAGATGTCCATTGGTCATAGTATCCAGGTCATTCCAAGAACAGGCGTCTCCCAGGCCTTGGGTCACACTAGTGTGGAGGTTTCACAGCTATGTCCCGTTTTACAGTGGGAATTGTCCGAGGGTTGTCGTGAGACCTGAATGAGTCTCAGTTACAGTGTGGACGTCCTCAGAACAGGGCTGGGCAAAGAGTAGGTGCTCTGTCCATGTCAGCTGCCATCCAGTAATTTATAAACCTGAGAAAATGTTATGATAAACCTTGAAGGACTGCTAGGACCATTATAGACCACTGAAAACTTGGCTTCTACTTCACATTCTCTAAAAGGCCTAGACATACCATGTTCACACATGAAGCAAAAGGGCTAAGTTAAAAAATAAAGCCTTATTTAAAACAGAGTTTTATTGGGGCCAGCCGAGTGGCTCTGTTGGTTAAGAGCGCAAGCTCTGAGCAACAGGGCCACCGGTGCAATTCCTACATGGAGCTGGGTCTGAGCTGAGCTGCCGTTGAGTTGCCAACAGGTGGCAGGATGGCTCAGCTGGTGAGAGCATGTGCTCCTAACAAGGTTTCCAGTGTGACTCCCGCATGGGATGGTGGGCTACACCCACCAGCAATTAAGATTGAACATGGCACCTTGAGCTGAGCGGCCGCGAGCCGCCCATAGGTGCCCAGATGGTGACTGCACTTGGAGCTGAATTAGCAGTGCCCTCCAAAACTAAGATTGAAAGACAACAACTTGGCTGTTCCCTTTCCTCAATTCCCCAACACTGTTCCCTTCCCAAATTCCCCAATAAAATCTTTTTTTAAAAAAAGAGTTTTATTAAAATATAGCTATTGTACAATATTATATTAGTTTCAGGGGTATATCATACATGTTTAACATTTATATACATAAAGAAGAGATCACCATGATAAGTCCAGCAACCATCAGACACTATACCACGCTATCACAATATTATTGACTATATTCCCCATATTGTACATTACATTCTCTTATTTTCCTCATGTGACTTACTTGTTTATACCTGGAAATTTGGACCTCTTATTTCCCTTCACCTTTCCCCCTTTTAAAGTTTTCAATTATAGCAGATGTTCAATATTATTTGATGTTCACTTCAGGCGCACAGCACAGTGGTTAGGCATTTATATAATTTAAGAAGTGATCCCCCTGACTAGTCTCGTACCCACTTGGCTCTATACATAGTTATTACCGTATTATTAACTATATTCCCTATGCTTTACTTTATATCCCTGTGACTATTTCATGACCACCAATTCATACTGCTTAATCCCTTCACCTTTGTCACCCTGCCCTTCGACACCTTCCCAACTATCACCCTGATACACCTAGTAACCATACATAGTTATTACCATATTATTGACTATATTCCTTATGCTATACCCTATATCCCCATAACTACTTTGTAACAACCAGTTTGTACTTCTTAATCCCTTCCCCTTTTTTTATCCACACCCCCAACCCCTCCTCCCATCTGGCAACCATCAAAATGTTTTCTGTATCTCTGAGTTTGTTTCTGTTTTGTCACTTAATTTTGCTGTTTAGATTCCACATATAAGCGAAACCACATTGCCTCTGTCTTTCTCTGTCTGACGCTGCACTCAGCGCAATACCCTCCAGGTCCACCCATGCCGCTGCATATGGCAACAACCCATGCCCTTCACTGGCTGAGCAATATTCCATTGAATATATGTACCACCTCCCCTTTATCCATTCTTCCATTGATGGACACGCAGGCTGCCTCCACATCTTGGCCATTGTAAACAATGCTGCAATGAACATATGGATGCACTCGTCCCCTCGAAATAGCATTTTGGGTTTCTCCGGATAAATACCCTGAAGTGGGATTACTGGGTCCTTCATTGTCTCTTATTATAACCTTTGTTTTAAAGCCTATTTTGTCTGGTATAAGTATTCTAGCCCAGCTTTTTTTTGGTTTTGGTTTTGGTTCGTTTCTATTTTCATGAAATGTCTTTTTCCATCCCTTTAGTTTCTGTCTGTGTGTGTCTTTCAATCTGAAGTGAGTCTCTTGTAGGCAGCATATGTAAGGGTTTTTGTTTTCTTATCCATTCAGGCCACCCTATGTCTCTTGATTGGAGCAATTAATCCATTTACATTGAAAATAGTTGTTGATAGATATGTACCTATTGCCATTTCATTATTCATAATTCTGATATATATTTTCTTCCATCTTAAAGTAGTCCCTCTAACACTCCTTGTAATACGGATTTGGTGGTGATAAGCTCCTTTAACTTTTT